TTGACTCTTAACTTTTATAAAGAATATCTCTTTGGATTTGAGACTTTAGTTTGCAACTTTACAGATCTTCTTTATGCACCAAGAGCTTGTAACACTCCAAAGAGAAAGGAAAAATTTAAATCGCATCATATGACCCCTTTAAAATATAATTGAAATTGATTTTACACACGTTAAGCAATATCGTATCGAATATCGCATTTTTTAACAAGGTATCGCATATCGCATTTTTATTCAATATCGCACAGCCCTAATTAATACTAAGCAATCAACTCCTGGTCTTCCTTGTGCGCAGGAAAATGACATCTTCCTGGGCTGGGAGAAGGGAACAGGGAAGAAATGGGGGAAGAGCAAGAGGAAGGGAGGGACTGACCTTACTCTTGAAGAGATGAAGAAACAAGCTGCTGTGCAATGTTTGCGTTCAGCATCTGATGAAGTAAGATCAGTGTGTTATTTTGTATTGCCACAACCATTTTCACTGCTAAATTGCAATTAGTGTACTTTTGTGTGTTGTGGAATTAGTAGAGCAAACATTGGTTAAGCGGTCAAGAATAGCTCTCCTCATTAAGACTCTGTAATATGCCAATCAGAGTTTGAGTAATGTGGCAGTATCTCAGATCCACTTTTTGTGAAAGTCATTGATATGCTTTGCCTTTGCCTCAAAGCCTTTTACAGTGATGATGCTTATTTCTGTAAAAAAAAAAAAAAAAAATCACCAGAGCTAGTTCAGATGTATTCAGCAAATTATATATTACACAGTTGACATTTTATATGGTTACTGTTTTCATTTTGTGTATATTTGGAGCTTTCTAATCAAAGAGAGTAATAATTTCATATTTAATACCTTGTTTTTGAAGAAAACAGTTGATTTTTGTTTCCGTGACAGAACTATGATTAAATATTCACCTGAAATTGCAAGTAAAATTACTCTTTTGTTCTCCTTCAGAATTCTGGAATTGAAAGCTTGGTCGAGGAGCTATGCTCTAAACTCAAGGATATTCAAAACAAACAGAAAGGTTGGTTTGCATATTTTCTGAGTCATGCAGGTTAATGCAAAAATGGCGTTGTCTTGCAGCTGTAACAATTTAATGGCAGTACTTCAATTATATTGCTTTGCTATTATTATCTTACAGAAAAAGAAAAGCAAGGAAATAAAAAATCTGATGTATCTCAGTCTCCTGAACCAGATGAATCATTTTCTTCTAAGGACCAGGTTGAGATGTAAGTAATTAAACTTTGTAGTCTGTAATGTAATAATGTGGATTGTTGTACAGCTGGGGTTATGATTTCCATGTAATTAATTAGAGCAATAGGACTGATGTTGTTATGTGCCTTTATTAAACCAGAAAAGCCTATGATTAAATAAATAGTCTAAATAAAAAGCATGCCTCAGTGAATGGGCAGTTTTTTTTTTTGAGAGTCTAGTGAGTGTTCATGCTAGGGTTGGGCGATATGGCCAAATATATTATTACAACATATTTTTCCATATCATACAATATTGATATTTATCACAATATTCGTTTACCATTCATTGGGAAGGAAATGCTTTCCACATGTTTATAGACCTTGAGAATGAACGTAAACATAACTTGTTTGTTCACAATTAAACTCCATAGAGTGAGCTACCTTTTAATTTAGGGTCCCATGAAATCCGTTTTCCCCCCTAAATTCTGTGTTTTTCATTTTATTTTTTTGCTGGGTTCTGTTTAATGATTTAATACAAATTTAATACAAAAATGATATCTAATGAAATGAAATAATACAATTGAATCAATATTTTAAAATGTAATTTAAAATTAAAATAACAATTTACAACAAAACATTGCATTTTTATTTTTTGTCAAATAAAATGCTATACAACATAAGATGTGCCAACATATCTCAGAGCAGCTCTTATATATTGAGACGCAGATGCTGAAAACACTGTGAATGTCACTTGTGTTTGAGTTTGTGTTGTAAACAAAATCACGCCATTCATTTACAGACGCAGAACATGCAGACTTATTAGCTGCATGCACTGACTGGCTGTCATCCTGTTTATTTCTGCTGTGATACGCTGTTAGATATAGAGTAAAAATGTCCTGAGCTGATCATCATTTTTATTGTGAATATCGTTATGATATTGTCATCCAACCCTAGTTCTTGCCTAACATAAACGGAGATGAGAAAAAAGGCAACAATTGTTGTTGCTTATTATAGGTATGTGACGGTATCAAATTTTCATTAATTGCTGATGCTTTTATCACGGTATACGGTATTATCACGGTATTTAAATTTAGTTGCAAAAAAGTGTTGTCATAATAAAGTATAACAGGTTTAATAACTTTTTTCTTATAACAGAAAGAAACTGAACATTTAAATACAATAAAGCAATACACAAAAAATGTATAAAGTAAATAATTTCACACAGATTAAAGTGCAAAAGAATTATAAAGACCAATAGGTAACACTTTACAATAATATCTCATTAGTTAACCTTAGTTAACTAGTTAAAGAGCAGGTCATATGGTATTTTAAAGTGTCCTAATATTGTGTCGGAGTCACCTACAACAGGTTTAAATGCATCTAAGGTCAGAAAACATTGTAATTTTCTCAGAATATACATTTAATATTAGAGTCATTTGCCAATGATTTCGAAACAATTCGTTCCAAGCAAGTTCGGAGCAAACCCCTCCC